GATTACGCCTTCATCTCCCAAGGAGAGACAACAGTGGCCTCCATCAACGACTCTGAAGAGCTGATGGCTACTGATGTGAGCCGCCTCCATGAATTATAGCAGCAAAAAATATTCAAAATCAAACCAATGGTTACTAAATAAACATCAAAATGCCATGTTTGGTCAGGATGCCTTTGATGTGCTGGGCTTCACTCAAGAAGAGAAGAACAGCATCTACAAAATGACCGGTGCCATTATGCACTTTGGAAACATGAAGTTTAAGCAGAAGCAGAGAGAGGAGCAGGCAGAAGCTGATGGAACCGAAGGTAAGAAATTACTTTTTTTGAACAGTTTAAAGTCTGTGACATAAAATGTGCTAAAAGTGGTGTGATTATTATCACTAATTCTCCAAAGATGCTGACAAAGCAGCTTATCTGATGGGGCTGAACTCTGCTGACCTCATCAAAGGTCTCTGTCACCCAAGAGTCAAAGTAGGAAATGAGTGGGTCACCAAGGGACAAAATGTTGCTCAGGTAATGATATTTATATATATTTTGTGAGAAAACAGCATTAAAATATGTTTTGACAGTCTTCTTTATAATTTCCTTAAGGTGTACTATGCCATCGGTGCACTCTCTAAATCAGTTTATGAGAAGATGTTCCTGTGGATGGTGATGAGGATTAATCAGTCTCTTGACACCAAGCAGCCACGCCAGTACTTCATTGGAGTGCTGGACATTGCTGGATTTGAGATTTTTGATGTGAGTTTAGATAGGAGAAGACATCTTTCATGTTAGGAGTTCAGTATTAATTAATTTTTGTTTTAATTAATTTTATAAGATAGTATGTGTGATTTACATCTCAGCAGTAACAGACTTTCTGAGTATTTTAAGAAAAAAATGATTTTTAATAACTCTCAACATCTTTCTAGTTCAACACCTTCGAGCAGCTGTGCATCAACTTCACCAATGAAAAACTGCAACAGTTTTTCAACCACCACATGTTTGTGCTGGAGCAGGAAGAGTACAAGAAAGAGGGGATTGAATGGACTTTTATTGACTTTGGTATGGATCTACAGGCCTGTATTGACCTGATTGAAAAGGTGAGAAACCAGATTATTAAATAAATTGATAAATTCAATAATCTGATTTTAACATTTCATGTTTTAATTTTAGCCCATGGGTATCATGTCCATCCTTGAAGAGGAGTGCATGTTTCCCAAAGCCTGTGATGCTACGTTTAAAGCTAAGCTTTATGACAATCATCTGGGGAAATCCAACAACTTCCAGAAACCCAGGATTGTTAAAGGAAAACCAGAGGCCCATTTTNATCACTCATGTTTTAATTTTAGCCCATGGGTATCATGTCCATCCTTGAAGAGGAGTGCATGTTTCCCAAAGCCTCTGATGCTACATTTAAAGCTAAGCTTTATGACAATCATCTGGGGAAATCCAACAACTTCCAGAAACCCAGGATTGTTAAAGGAAAACCAGAGGCCCATTTTGCCCTGGTTCATTATGCTGGGATTGTTGATTATAATATCAACAACTGGTTGGTGAAGAACAAGGACCCTCTGAATGAGACTGTAGTTGGGCTGTACCAGAAGTCTACTGTTAAGCTCTTGGCATTGCTTTTTGCAAATTATGCAGGAGCAGAATCAGGTATGTATTTACTCAGAAATTAGTGAGTCACTTTAAACTATTATATTATTATTAGTTTGTGCGTGTGTGTGGTCATGTTCTTGTTACCCTGTGGTGACAAATTTGCAGAAATATGCTACATTTTGAGGACTTTCTGTGTAGGCTTGGGGTTAGTTTTAGGACTAGGATGTGAATTGTGTTTAGGCTACATTTAGGGTTAGGTATGTGTGGGTTATGTTTAGGGTAGGGGTCAAGGTTAGGCCATAGAAATGAATGCAATATGGATTGAGATAGAAAGTCTCCATAAGGATGTTGTGACAAAACATGTGTGTATGGGTGTGTGTATTCTTTGTGTCGTCCATTTTCTGGAAAAATGGCATGTTGTGTAGCCCGATGCCTGGACCCAATGCATGGAATTCCTATATTAGGGTCAGGGCTCAAGTTTACGACTAAGGTGGGAATTGAGTTTAGGGTTAGGTATGAACTCTAAACTTATATATATGCATAGGAATAGGGTAACGGTCAAGGTTAGGCAATGGAAATGGGTTAGAAATAAATACAATGGAAAGTTCCTGCAAAGATAGAGAAATGTGTTTTGTGTAGTGTGTGTGTGTGTTGGGAGGGGAGGAATGTTGAGGATTTACAGCTTCAAAAAAAGAAATTGATTTAGAATAAAATTATCCACATTTGTTTCACTTTGCAAGCCAAGGTTTGGTTGATCAGTTTCAACTATGAAACATTTTTCTTAGCTAACTGGCCAAGCATAAATAGTTTAGGTTAATTATTGCATAGTAATGATAAAATCTAACTAAAGTTTATCTTTCTTACTCCAAAACATCTGCATCTACATGACAAATTGCTTGCCACCAGTAGCTGTTCTTTTATTTTTTTCAGTGGCTCAGCATTCCCAATTTAAGCCAATAGTTTGAGAACTTGCTTTGAAATCTGAAGGAAAAAAGTCTAACAAAGACCCAAATCTGAGCTTATTAATATTTATAATGGAGGGGTAGCTAATATGTATGACATGGAGGAAATGGACTAAGGATTAAAAAGATTAGATCAAAAGATCAGTTTTTATCTTTATGATGTTAGTTGTTTTTGTGTCGGGTAAGCAGTCATTTGAAAATAATATAGGTGCATATGAATTTTTAAAAATCATTTATTTTATTCTAAAATGTATGACTTTTCTCAGCTCAGGAAAGTGGAGGGAAAGGCAAAGGTGGAAGCAAGAAGAAAGGCTCATCTTTCCAAACTGTATCTGCCCTGCACAGGGTATGATTATAGTAATTTGATAGTCTAATATCTAAACAGCATAATATACTGGGGTTTGAGACATGCATTTATAATAGCAATCCATTTGTGCCTTTAGGAGAACCTGAATAAACTGATGACCAACCTGAGGTCTACCCACCCTCACTTTGTGCGCTGCATCATCCCCAACGAGACTAAGACTCCTGGGGCCATGGAGAACCCTCTGGTGATGCACCAGCTGCGCTGTAACGGTGTGCTGGAAGGCATCAGGATCTGTAGGAAAGGCTTCCCCAACAGGATCCTCTATGGAGACTTCAAGCAGAGGTTTGTTTTAGATTACCACTCATATCTAGAAGTAATAGTTTTAGCCTTTGTCAAAAAGATTGCATTTTGATCCACATTCACATAACAAACTCAAAATGTCACTTTGTGTTAGCTGAAACTAACAAATTGTTCTGCAGAAAGATGTGTTTAAATAAAATAGCTGGTATATTTCAAAATGAATTATTAAAAAAACAAAAAAAAAAAAAACAACTCTTTCTTCCTGCTTATATACCTTTCAGACTGAAAAAAGCTTCAAGAATATATATATTTTCTTATAGATTTGTTGTTCAATTTAAAATCATTAGTAATATAGTTAAGAACATACTTAGAATGCCATTAAACATTTGGTTCAAACGGCATATCACAAGTAATATTTGTCTCTATTAAAGATACCGGATCTTAAACCCAAGTGCAATACCTGAGGGACAATTCATTGATAACAAGAAGGCTTCAGAGAAGCTTCTAGGTTCCCTAGATATTGATCATAGCCAGTACAAACTGGGTCACACCAAGGTAAGTAAATCTTTGCTGACTGGATATTTTTCAGATAACCGGGAAAGAGAACCTTCTATGATGAAACTTCTTTATCATGCAGGAAATCATTCTGATAATTTTGTTTCTGTTCAAATGCAATAATGATGGTTTACGTGAGATTAAATGTTACTTGTGCATATTTCCACAGATTTTGTGACTAAATATTATTTGTCTATATTTTGAAACAATTTAGGTGTTTTTTAAAGCTGGGCTTCTAGGTTTGCTAGAGGAAATGAGGGATGACCGCCTCGCTCTCATTATAACCAGGATTCAGGCAAGATCCAGAGGTGTTCTTGCAAGAATAGAATTCCAGAAGATTGTAGAACGAAGGTGATTAAATAAAATAAATACTTTGTGTTAAAATTTATTTCAAGTCAACGGATGAAACAAAACTTAAAATATGACCCCTTATATTAGGGTTAAACAAAGTAGCCAAGTTGCAGCGTGTCAGCCAAAGGCTAACTGAAATACACAACAGCATTTAAGTGTCATGTTTATTCAAACTGTTGCACACAGGGATGCACTACTTGTGATCCAGTGGAACATCCGAGCCTTCATGGGGGTCAAGAATTGGCCCTGGATGAAGTTGTACTTCAAGATCAAACCTCTGCTGAAATCAGCTGAGACTGAGAAGGAGATGGCCAACATGAAGGAAGAGTTTACCAAACTCAAGGAGGCTTATGCAAAGTCAGAGGCCCGAAGGAAGGAACTAGAGGAGAAAATGGTCTCTCTTCTCCAAGAGAAGAACGACCTGCAGCTCCAAGTCCAAACTGTATGTTAAAACCACTACATTCATTGTATTAACGTAATCAATGGCAACTAGATTGTTTGACATGTTTATCGATTTTTTTTTTAAAGGAGCAAGATAATCTCTCTGATGCTGAGGAAAGATGTGAGGGGCTGATCAAGAGTAAGATTCAACTGGAAGCTAAAATCAAAGAGCTGACAGAAAGACTGGAAGATGAGGAGGAGATGAATGCTGAACTTACTGCTAAGAAGAGGAAGCTGGAAGACGAGTGCTCTGAGCTTAAGAAGGATATTGATGACCTAGAGCTAACTCTAGCAAAGGTGGAGAAGGAGAAGCATGCTACTGAGAACAAGGTACCACGGATACAATCAATAAATCAATCAATACATCAAAAAGACATTATCACGTCTAATGCCACAGGTTCACACCACATATCTCTTTTGGCTTTAGGTCAAGAACCTGACAGAGGAGATGGCCGCTTTGGACGAAATCATTGCCAAGCTGACCAAGGAAAAGAAAGCTTTACAGGAAGCTCATCAACAAACCCTGGATGACCTGCAGAGTGAAGAAGACAAAGTCAACACTCTGACCAAGGCCAAGGCGAAGCTGGAGCAGCAAGTGGATGATGTACGCTCTACAACGTTAAGCTTATTGCTAGATGTACAATGTTTATTTGACTAAAAGTGATCTCTCGCTTGATGCTCTTCAGCTCGAAGGATCCTTAGAACAAGAGAAGAAAATACGAATGGACCTTGAAAGAGCCAAGAGAAAGCTTGAAGGAGACTTGAAGTTGGCCCAGGAAAGTATCATGGACCTGGAAAATGACAAGCAGCAACTTGAAGAGCGGATGAAAAAGTAAATAGTTAATATTGAAAACACTAGCTATTCCTAAAGTAGGCATTCTTTTATCACATTGAACATTTTATCATCCATAGGAAAGATTTTGAAATAAGCCAACTCAATGGGAAAATAGAGGATGAACAAGCAATGAGTGCCCAACTCCAGAAGAAACTAAAGGAGCTGCAGGTGACCATTCCCACAAGGCATAATATGCTGAGGAAGAATATGCATGATTTTAAAAGGACTATTAGAACATTCAATTTCTAAAACATTCACTCTCAATTTGTGCTAGGCCCGCATAGAAGAGCTGGAGGAAGAGCTTGAAGCAGAACGAGCTGCTCGAGCCAAGGTGGAGAAGCAGAGAGCAGACTTGGCCAGAGAGTTGGAGGAGATCAGTGAGAGGCTGGAGGAGGCTGGTGGAGCCACGGCCGCCCAGATCGAGATGAATAAGAAGAGGGAGGCCGAGTTCCAGAAGCTCCGCAGAGACCTTGAAGAGGCCACTCTGCAGCATGAGGCAACCACTGCCACACTCAGGAAGAAACAAGCTGACTCTGTTGCTGACCTGGGGGAGCAGATAGACAACCTGCAGAGAGTCAAGCAGAAACTGGAGAAGGAGAAGAGTGAGCTCAAACTGGAGCTGGACGATGTGGTCTCCAATATGGAGCAGATTGTCAAGTCCAAGGTAAAGTGTATGTGAATGTTATGTGTGGTTTGGAGGTTTTCTTGCTCTTGGAGGATTAAATAACATCCTAATTTGGTCCCGTGATGATTCCTTTTATTTCAGAACAATTTGGAGAAAATGTGTCGCTCACTTGAAGATCAGCTAAATGAATATAAAACCAAATCAGAGGAGGGACAGCGTACCATCAATGACTTCACCATGCAGAAAGCAAAGCTTCAAACTGAAAATGGTATAAGATTTGACTTAACCTCTTAGAAGCCATATTTTATGATTAACCATTTAAAGTCTAAATATTTGATTAATTTTTAAATCAGGTGAACTAATAAGGCAGCTTGAGGAAAAGGATTCCTTGGTGTCTCAGCTCACCAGAGGAAAACAGTCGCACACACAACAAATCGAAGACCTGAAAAGACAACTGGAAGAGGAAA